TTTCATAATTACATCATAATTATTTAATTAATGGCCATTTAAAGATCGAGGTTGGGTTTTTTGTATTCATTTACGCCTTTCTGATACATTTTGATGCTTTTCAAGGTAAAATACAATTTTGGAGGATTTGCATCAAGCATTGAGCCTAGGAGGAGAACAAAGGAGAACATGTGAGAAGCCTACTCGGAATCACAACCAGAGCCTAGGAGGAGCCTAATGGAGGAAGACTCAGCCCAAACCGGAGCACGAAATAGTGATGGTCCAATGCCTGGTCCAATATCCTCTCAAGCCAATTTGGTCAAATCACGGAAAAATCTTCAAGAGAGGTTTCTTATGTGCCAAGGAACTCAGCCGACAAAGAAAATTAATGGTGCTTCCAGCGCAATCCAGCCAGCACTAAAAGGCCCAAGCCCAAAAATATATATACAAAGCCTTGTTTTGGCCCTAAGTTAGAGATATCGTATTCTAATAGGGTTTTGCCTCCACAAATAGGGATCTAGACTCATTAGTTCGAGAGGTTGCATATATCCACTAAAAATTTTGTAGACACTCTGTTCAAGTGAGAGCTTAGCATTCGTAGGAGAGGTTGTAGCTAATGAGATGTCTTTATCATCGATGGTGGTATGGTACCCTCTTCTCTTCTATGTATAGCTAGTTCAAAATTGATTGCTTAAGAACGTGAACTCGTTGATCTTTTAGAAAAAAAATTTAATTGAACGTTGAGATTGGTCGAAGCTCAAAAAAGGACTCCTCGAGTATACCAGTCATTACCATATATATATATATATATTTATTTATATATCGATTCTATGATTGCATATTGTGCTTGTTTTCATGCTTATGAATTTCAATACCTATCATGTATGTATGGATGCTTATAGTTTCTATGCTTATGTGATGGTCATTGATGGGAGCAAGTTAGTCAATTAACCCACAACTCCCTCACCATCGACTAACATATATGGAGATAATATATTTATAAATCCGTGACACACTATTTCACCTAAAGTTAGTCTTATACCACTTTCATTAAATTCAAGAATATGGGTGCTTTATAAGGATAAGTTAACTACATTACTTAAATTACTTTAAATTGGGTAGTGAAATATGGATTTTAGGGCCATGTTGAACATCCATTGCAAGTCCACCAGGGGTCCTCATATAAACTTTACACACCAAGACCCTAAACAAAATACCCATCTTTGGCCCCTTCGTCATCAAGGTATCGAGGCCATCCAGCATGCCAGACCTCCCAGGTATAATGCATGCTATTTGACCAAAAAGACTTCATAGGTGTTAAACATGGTAACGTCCAAGAGGTTTAATGTGGGGGTACCTTCTTCACTTGGATGTTGAATCCATCAATAAAGTTCCATCATGAATACCCTTTACGAAACTAAGAAAGGCAATCTCAATGAGAGGCATAAGGGTAAGGCATTCATCGTGGTCTCTCTTACGACTCATCATTGTCGACTCCTTCTTCTTAAGGTCTCGAGGCCATCAAGTATGGTGGGCTTCCTAGTGTCAACTGTCAAGACATCTCTTTTAATTTCCAGCATTGTGCCCTACTATCAAGGTTCCCCTTAAGTGTCAAGCATGGAAGTTTTCTGTCGAAGCCATAGGGTATCCATCATGGACACCACCATCATCAAATCCCCTCAAGTACACTTTGTCATTTAGGAACCTCTATAGGTGTCAAACATGACACATAACTAGGTGGCCATCATACTCCAAACTAAATAGCACAATCGAATTGAAGACCCCATGACCACATGTCCATCCGAGTCTATAAGATACCTATTAGACAAGAGACTAACACCTACCAGATTTCCATTAAGTCTTCAATGTAATAATTATTCATCACGAGAACATGTGGTGTTAATGTTTCAAGCAAGTCGCCTAAAGCATCAAGGTTATTAATGTGGCGTCTTGCAAGGGAAGTTGTTGAGATTGGGATAGAGGCAACCACTAACCAAATGAACCATGTTCGAGTGGTGGAAGAGAATGTGGGGAGTTAGCTCAACATGATGATTACTCTGATCTCTACTTTACTTGTGGCAACAAATAGAAGGAGGGGCCGTCAAGAAAAGAGGACAAAACAACAACTCTTATACACACACGTCAAATTTGCTTTTCTCTGCAAATTACTCATGGGAATATTTTTTGAAGTTTCCATTCAACCTCCATAAGAGTAAGTGAACTTATCATAGATTGTTCCAATAGTATAATTAATTCAATTTAACGCAAATTTTATGTGCAGAGCACACCCATATCACCCACCCTCCCACAACAATTTAGATCTTCTAAGATACGTCAAACCTCATAATACCAAACACAACTTACGAATCTGGTCTAGAATACCCTTATAAATGACAAAAATCGACATTCAAAACTGAAACAGTGAATAGAGCAGACTTACTGAATTCGCCATACATAGGAAAGCTTGTTGGCTCTCCAAGTCCGAATCATGCATGTGATCTTATCAACCAAAATCTGACATTCCTACTTGTTAATCTGCCAAAAATTAAAGGGAACCCCAGATAATTTACTGGCAAATTCTTCTCCCTGAACCCACTCACTACAAGAGTATTCTTTTTATACGGATTAGCCAATCCACCAAAGAATACCTCATATTTGTTGGTAGTACACTTCAAGTCCGAGACTATATAGAAACGAGACAAACTCTTCAAAGTATTCAAAGCACTGACTGACCTATCAATGAAAATCAATAGATCATCCGCAAAACAAATGTGTGTCAGATCAATCGATTTTGCATTGAGGTTGATAGGGAAGATGAGAAAACTGAGCATGGAGATCAAGCATTCTTGACAATAGGGCTGGCAGTTTGGACCGGAACCGGATTGAAAACCGGAAACCGGACCGTAAAACCCGGACCGTTTTAAGACCGAGACCGGATGTAAAACAATCCAATCCCGTCTTTGGTCCCAGAATTAGCAAAAAAACCGGACCAGTCCAGTCCGGGTCAAAACCGTGTAAAAACCGGAAGACCGGATAAATAAAAACAAATCAGACCAGAGGCAATTCTGACCCAAAGCCAAAGCCCATAAGAGCCCAAATAAACTCAGTACTCGGCGGCCCATAGAATAGAAGCCCATTGTTAATTTTACGGTTGGCTGGAGTGGAGACGCACTGACGTAGCCGCTCCTCTGCCTCTCGTACTCGTCGTGTCCGTGTGTCTCTCTACCTCCATTTCCCCATTTCGCTGCTCCAGTCCACAGTCCGCCTCCGCGGCCCTCGCCGACCTAGCGACGACCCCGACCCGCCTCCGCGCCGACAGCGAGCAGCGACGACCCCGAGCAGCGCAAAAGCACAAACTTTCACCAGCGACGACCCGCCTCCGCGCCGAAAGGACAGCAGCGACGACCCCGACCCAGCCCAGCCCCGACGCGACTCCGACTCAGCTCTGTCATAGCCTCGTCGCCCTCCCGCAGCCTCATCACCGTTCGTCGACTTTTGGGAACATCTGCGAACTCATAAAAATGGAAGGCAGCAGCAGCTGGGTAAGCAAACTGTGCAAATGAATGAAGCTCATCATGTGTCCTTGTCGTTTGTCGTCACTTCGTTCCTTAATTATTCTGCCTAACCCGCCATTGTTCTCATGAATTGATTTTATTTCTTTCTTTTAGTTCTTGTATTATTCGACAGTACTGACCATTGGCACAAATTCTTAAATTTTGGGTGCATCTTTTGCTTATCAATGAAAATTTCCAGCCTTTGCCAAAATGACAAAAACAATCCAGCCAAGACAAAGTAAAGAGATATGCCAAAGATTTGGCAGTGGCAGAAACACATGCTAGCTATTACAGTTTTGCTTATAGTCTAAAAGAATTGCTGCATTTGAATGATGGAATGTGACATACCAGGGTTGGATGAGTTTATTATCGATTGATTTTTGTTTGTTCTTCAATGGATTGAATTGTTTTGTGCAGGGTACTAAGAAGCGAATACCGAAGGTACAAGCATGTGAATGAACACGAAGGTACAAGTACGAGCAATGTCGGAGGGAGTGATGTGTTTGGCTCGAGGAGTGGAACAAATCAAGGAGGTGGATCTAATGCTTCATTTATTTCTCTTGAACCTGATGAGTAGAAATGGTTTGGCGAATTTGTTAGATTGGAGTGAATTTGGTGTTTGATGTCTAAACTTTGTTTGTGAACTTGTGATGCACTTTATTTTTATTTTGAAGTTTGAATTGGACTTTGAGTTTGTAATAGACATCAATGATGGTTGTGATTTTGTATTGGACCATATTTGGCTTGATTTTTGCTACAAACAGGTTGTTTACATTCCAGGAAATAGGTATATGCTGCTGAATTTTTTGCAACATGGTCAAAACGGGTCAAAACCGGATTGGGACCGGACCGGGTCAAAACCGGACCGGGTCAAAATCGGACTGTACCCAATCCAAGTTTTGGTCCCCATATTTCCGAAAAGACCGGACCGGACCGGATCAATTCGGGCCAATTTAACCGGACCGGACCGTACTGCCACCCCTACTTGACAATGGTTCAAAAGCAATAGGTGGATAAGGGATCCCTTGTCTAACTCCTTTCTTTTTGGCAAAATACCCAAACAAAAATCCATGAATGCTAATACTAAAGAAGGCATAACGATTGCATACTTGAATCCAATGAATGTATTTAGCAGGAAACCGCAAAAATTTCGGCTCAAAATACTCCAAGCGAATGTCCTCAGGAGCTAGAAGAGAAGCCTAGGACCGATCGTCACTAACGGCGCCCAGCAAGACTCTGTCAATAACGACCGCCGTCGAGTGAAGATCGATTCGCAGGAACTCTAATCATAGAGAGAATTTTTAAAAAATGGTAAGAATCAAGGTTGTCAAACCTTAATTCCACCAACCGGTTCAACCGAAACTGGTCATTTGAACGGTTTGAATATGGTTTGACAACCTTCATAAAAATGCATTTTAACTTTTGCACCAAGAAAAGAAAAATGCATTTCAACTCCCTTTTACAAATCGCTAGAACAAACCACCCGCTTTGTTTGTTGCGTTACGCTCTTTTCTATATCTCTGTCCATTTCCTACATCTCAACCAAATTTTACACCCCACCACCGCCCCTCACCGCGGAGCCAGACGGTGGCCCAAAGTTGCGGCCGACGACCAATAAATTCAATTCAATTGGGCAGAAACGCTGAGAGGAGTAACTGAAAATAGGAAAATGATGAGGGATGTGTCCAGCTTCAGTACGTACAACTATGGCGACGCTCTGTATTGGGACGCTCGCTACGTTGAAGAGGCTGGGAGTTTCGATTGGTACCAGCGGTACTCTTCTCTCCGCCCATTCGTTCGCCACTACGTCCCCACTTCTTCACGCGTCCTAATGGTGGGCTGTGGCAATGCCCGTAACTCTCTATCCCCCGCCCCTCTTCCTCTTTACTTGTTCTTGCGCTTATTTATGTGATTCTGCTCGAACGGGAATCCGCTTATTTGAATCTGTTTGTGTCTGGAATTTTCTTACCGCTCGAAGGGTCCATTTGCTGTTTCATGACGTTTCGGTTTTATTGGCCCAGACTCTTGAGATTTAGTTGGTATAAAAATCTGGTTAGTTGGAATTCTTTTGATGTGGGATTTACTTTGATATTGCTTGAATGATCTCCTACTCTTTATGCTTTTGCTGTTTCTTTGCTGGGTTTGCTGTTTGGGCACTATGAAATAGAAATGATGAATGGTTCATACCTTACAGCAAATTAAGCTTCACTTGCCCCATTTTATCTGCTAGGTTCTTTCCGATTCGCGTTCTGCATTGAATTTGTCTCTGGGTAGGATTTCAACTGGGTTGACCAAGGAGTGGCCGTGTTGTTGTCTATGTCATTGTATTTTGGTTTTCTTATCCATCTGCGGTGCCTTGGAAGCAAAATCAAATGAGAGGAATCATGAGTAGCTGACATGATTGCTCATTCAACTTATTGCATACTTTCGCTTCATTTGTTTCTGTCTTCTAGTGATGTCAGAGGATATGGTGAAGGATGGGTATGAAGACATAATGAACATTGATATCTCTTCAGTTGCAATCGAAATGATGAGCAAAAAGTATGAGTACATCCCTCAGCTCAAATGTATCCTCTTTGCGAACTTCTTTTTTAGCTCGTGAATCTGTGTAATTGACGAATTCATTGTTATTGACTGTTCCTTGGTCTATTTGAGCTTCCTTTATGATCTATCATAGACATGAAAATGGATGTCAGGGAGATGAGTGCGTTCGCAGATGATTCATTTGGCAGTGTCATTGACAAGGGTATGTGTGACCCTTTCTCCTCCTTAGATGCTCTCTCTTATGCTACCATTTATTTTCCTGCAATTTAAGAAACCTAACATGTTGATGCTGTTGTTTGTGTTGATGTTTCGGATTTGGTGGTGAAACATTGGGCATACATTTGTCATTCCAGGAACTCTTGATTCTTTAATGGTATGGTGATAACTGATAAGTTTTTTTTTTTTTTCCCCGATGGTTCATTATGCAGTTGTTTAGAAATGGTGCTCATTTTCTAACTTTTTTTTTAAACTTTTTATATGTATTTTAGTGTGGCAACGATGCCCCAATTAGTGCTGCTCAGATGCTCGGAGAAGTGAGCAGGTTGACAGTACATTGGCGCTTCATTCATTTAAGTATAGTTTTCCCCTGAGAATTGATTGACCTAAAGCTGTGCTCTTTCTTCCGTTTTCTGGTTTGTAGGCTGCTGAAGCCTGGAGGAACTTATATGTTGGTAACCATATGCCCCAGTTGATTCTTGCCAGCTACCATTTTTTGTTTTTATTTTTTATTTTGGCTTGGAGGAGGCAGTTCATGTCTTGATTGATTTGCTTTTCTTGTTTCAACAGATAACTTATGGTGATCCCAAGGTAAGGATGCCTCATTTGATGCGCCCAGTATACAATTGGAAGATTATGCTGTACATAATACGTAAGATTCTATGTGCTTTTAACCTTACGTGATAGCCTTCTGGTTTTCTCTCCACAGTTTGGTGATAAATTTCTATAAAACTCTTGTTCTTAAGCTATCCGCAAATTCTTGTGATGATTTTTTCTTGCTAGGATGAAGGAGAATGGTTCAGGGGAGTGCTTTAGAGTATTAAGACTCATATTATAAAAGCATTCTTTTAGGCATGGCCTTAGTGCTGTATGTAAGAACTCGTTTCCAAATTGGATCCCCTAAGCGTCTGATATGTTACTTGTATTTTGGTTGCTTTTTTCTCTTATTCAGCAAGGCCAGGGTTTCATAAACCTGCTCCTGGTTCGTCATCATCATCATGTGCATATTTGGAACCAGTTCCAATCACTGAGAATGGCTTACTTCCAGTAGACTATGTTCTGCAAGATCCAGATTCTCACTTCATCTACATATGCAAAAAGATGGATGAAAATTCGGAGCTCAATGAGGATAGCTCCTCGTATCCTTTGAGGGTTGATAAATCATTATAGGAACATTTCAAAAATCAAGCTGCAGCTTAAGGTACTTCACTGTGTCATATTGTACTGTTTTGCTCTCTAGATGTGCGAAAATTTGTTGTCATGACATCAATGCTTTTGGTATTAAAGAAAGGAACACATTTCCCAGCTTCTTCTGCAGGTTTGTTGGAGACCAAAGACATCGAATCAATGTTGTTTCCCTCCAGTAGAAGAATATCTGGAAAAGCAAAGAACTGAAAACAGAGAAGGGAAACAAGCAAGACTATGTCACAGATTGTAGCTTAGATACTGGAATCAGAGCTTCCGCTGCTCCCTCGTTATCCTATTCAGTAGGGGTGATTCATCCCTGTAGCTTAATTTGACCCCTGGGATGCTTTTTGGTTTGTGATTCTTTTTTGTCTTTCTGCTGAAAATTAGTCCAATTCAGCTGCCACCGCACCACATTATTAACCCAACTCTTGCCTTAAGTTGTCCAAATTCGGATAGACTGTTGGTCCATTTTTTCGCCACATCAGTAAAAGCTCATAAATGAACCTGAGGAGGTATTGGTGTTTTTTCTTTATAAGAAGTAAAGTGTTACTGGAGTTGACAGTAGTGAAATGGAGACGAAATCAAACTTGTGTTAGCTTTATTAGGCTGTGTTGAAGCATCGAGAAGCCCTCTTCTCCTCTTCCGCGTTCAATTCTTTGTTACGCAAAAAATAGAATTCGGGTTCATTTGTACACTTTTTACCCTCGGTTTGCTTAGTTGTTTGATACATTTTTATTCCGGGAGGTTTGGTTTTACGCCGGGTTGTGCCTTGTTTTGGTATGGTTCAGGCTTTGGAAGGTAGAACCAGCCCCATAGTTGAAAGTTCGACGAAAGGGCGAAAGATCAAGTCAAACGATGGAAACAACAGCAGTTCACGGTTTGTGTTGTGAGTTCATGATCACTAAGACAGTGTACTGGAGGTGCTCCCCGCAAACTACCAGACATCCAGAGCACTGGAAGGTTTCACTAGACACAAGCCAGTTCACGATCGTAAGACTGTGACCTCAGACCTCCGTGCGTGAACAGATTTTAGTGATGCGGCGCGTTTCATTGTTGGTTCACGGTCTGTTCTTTCAGTTCACGGCCGTGAACTTAGAAAGTGAACTAAGCCCGATCTGGGTATATAAAGGATGTTGAGCCAAAGGAGAAAATGGGGAGACCTAGTGTGAGAAACTTCTTCTTCTTCTTCTTCTTCTTCTTCTTCTTCTTCTTCTTCTTCTTCAGATTTCTATAATGAGAAAGTGACAAATCAAAGAAGAAGAGAAGCCAGGGTTTCATCTTCAAGCAAGGAATTGAGAATTCCTCCCCCAAAGGAGGATCTCTCCAACACAAGGAGCAAGGCTAGCATCTCTTTGATGGTTTTCCTTATTCTCTTTTGTGTTTTCCCTTCTCCTAGCATGGAGTAGTCCTTTTTTTCACTTGTGTGTTTGAAACCCTAGCTACAATTATGGGAATGCTTGTATGAATCGAATGATTTGTGTGTGGTTGTGTTTAATGTGAATGTGGATGTATTATTCATGAATGATTGTGTTATGTGAAAGCCTATCAATCTAATTGTCATTTTAACCTAGGTAGCAAGAAAACCCCATTCCTTTCTTTGAAAGAGGCTTGAATGTTGTGTTTTCCTAGGTAATTCATTGTCTCCTAGTTAGATTAATATAGGGCAAACCTCCTATTTCGTATTAGCACCTAGGGTTTGGTTGTGGGTTGCCGTCCGAACTCCGTTTCGAGGGTGAAGTCTAACCAATCCTTAGTCAATAGGATGAGAGAGTCGCATTAGTGGCTTGGATCGTATCCCCTTTCCTCGACCTAGAGACTAAGAGGGTAGCTTTGCCTACTTGTTAGACTTCCCTACGTTTTACAACCCCCTCATCACACACGGTCATTCGATCCATCAAGTCGTAATTGCTATCAAGGGGGAGCAACACCCGGGTGAAGCCTTCTCAATTAGTGTCAAAACCATTCCTCTCTGCAAGTACTTTAGCTTTAGACCTTTGTTTTTACTAAAACCAACCGCTAGATAATGTTACAAACAACCGGAATGGGGTTCATGAACCGGTCCGGGTCGAAATTTAAACATACTTGCCATGTACTGCACCCGGTTAAGGTTTATACTTGGGCCTTAATCGGGAGTTTCTAAGTGGTGCATTCGGGTTGAGTCAAGTTTTTGTCGCCGTTGCTGGGGAACCGAGGACCATGGGCAATTACATGGCTCCAAGGCCGGCGGCTATTCAACCCGCCATTAGACATCCACCCATGGACGCCAACAATTTTGAGATCAACCCCGCCCTTGTCACCATGATTCAAAATAATGCTCTATTACATGGGCTTAGCAATGAGTGTCCAAGAGAGCATGTTCAAAAGTTCATTGAGCTTGCGGGGAGTTTGAAGATCAATGGTGTCCCGAGGATGCTTTGAAGTTGAGGCTATTCCCCTACTCTCTTGCGGGGAATGCGTCTCGGTGGCTCAACAATAGGTTGGCTCTCTTGATCACTTCGTGGGATGATATGCTCAACAAGTTTATGACTCAGTATTGCGCACCTTTAAAGACGGCGGAGTGGCGCAAGAAGATCACCCATTTTGAGCAAGAGGAAGATGAGACATTGAGGGATGCTTGGGAAAGGTACTCCGAAAAATCCTCCAATGCCCACATCATGGATTCGAGGAGCAATTCCGGATTGAGACCTTCTATGGTGGTCTCCACCAAGACGACAAGATCATCATCGACTCCTTATGTTAAGGGAAATTGATGAACATGACTACACACCAAGTGACCGAGTTGCTCGAAGACATGGCAAGTAAAGGGTATGATTGGGTCTTGACAATAAGTGCAAAGTGTAGGAGCGAGTCCCCCGATTGAAGCCAAGATTGACCGATTGATCGAGGCATTCCTAGAGGGCAAGAAGCCAGAGAAGAAATCAGTAGCGTTGTGTGATTGAAGTGTGGGTGCAAGCTATGAAGGGACGATGCGCCAAGTGATGGTGGAGGAAGAGGGCACGTGTGAGCAGTTGTATTCTATCTCCCCCTCGAATCCACATAGGATGCCCGCTTTGGAGGAATTGGTAACTACCTTTCTCAGTACCAGCTCCAAAAAGTTCGAAAACATAGAAATGTTCATGGGGGAGGCGACAGAGAAGTTCCCATCCATAAAGTCGGGGTTGAAAAGTCACCAATCGCACTTGACAACCTTGACCACCCGGGTGGGGTCTATCTCACGAGCAACCCTTTCAAAAAGACAATCATATGAGGAGGAACTAAGGGCGGTGACCCTTCGGAGCGGGAGAGAAATGAGAGAAGTACCTCTCTAGAAGAAGCCTCCCGGGGTAGGAGAGCACACCAAAACCTCAACTTCTCATGAGCAAGAAAGGGATCCAAGTGTGATAGAGAAGGATAAGGTGGACTCAACCCCGCGAGAACAGACGAAAGGGGGAGAGAAGCCACCTCTTCCTTACCCCACCCGACTCCACACCGACCGCATGGCGTCAGAGTTCGCCCACTTCATGAAGTTGATGAACCAAATGCACCTCAACATTCCATTTGTTGAGGCCCTCACTCAGATGCCCAAGTACACAAATTACTTGAAAGACCTCCTCACCAATAAGAAGAAGCTTGAGGGAATGACTTTGGTGACATTGAATGAGGAATGCTCGGGAATCCTACAGAACCACTTATCTGCAAAGCGCCAGGATCGAGGGAGTTTCATTACCCCTTGTTTTATTGGCAATATATGAATAGGGAAATCCTTGGCGGACCTAGGTGCTAGCATTAATGTGATGTCGTACAAATTGTTAAAGAAGTTAGACCTAGGTGAACGTAGAGCTACTAGGATGAATATCCAGTTGGCTGATAGGTCAATAGTGCAACCTAAGGGCGTGGTTGAGGATCTACTCATTAAAGTTCGGACCCTCATTTATCCATTCGATTTTGTCATCCTTGTCATCGACGATAATGTGGACGTCCCTCTTATTTTGGGTAGACCCTTTTTGGCCACCGCAAAGGCATTAATCGATGGGCACGAGGGGTAAGTTAGTGCTTAGGGAAGGGGAGGAGAATGCTACATTCTCCATAGATGATAGCATGAAGTTTTCTTGTCTTCATGATGATATTGAATACTGTGATGACATATCTGATTTCATTGCAACACTCCCATCTGCGGGTGCCAATCTTACTGACCCGTTTGAGGAGTACTTTTTAGTAGGTACAAATGAATCGGAATCCCAGAAGAAGGGGTGAAATCCTCACGCACTAGGTAAGCCTACGTTGAGATTCCCGAAGTGGAGGTGGAAGCCTTACCCCCATGCCCAAGATTCCTACCTCTTTGGAAGAGCCACCCGTTGCCTCCTCGCCTTGAATATGCCTTCCTAAGGGAAGACGGCAAGCTCCCGATCATTAGCTGGACGGTTGGGGATCGATCACGAATTGGATCGTGATGCCTCCGAGAGTGGATCCACAACACTCTCGGGGCGAGGCTTGTAGCCTCCCGTCTTAGGCTCCATGAGTTGGCCTCTTGATTGGCCAACTTCTCATTGGCCTTCTCCTTCCTTCGGGCCATAGCTTCTTTCATCTTCTTCCTCTTCTCCTTGGGCATAGTACCCTCCTTCATTTCATGCTCAACATTACCAAAAGCAACACAAGGAATGGTGGGGTTTGCCTTGAGAGGCTCTCCTCCACTCTAATTCATATCATTTAAAACCACTTCCCTCACTTCATCACTCCTAACATTAGGGTCAATGTCAAGTTTGATTCTCTCCTTACCGTCCCTCAGAATTAAGGTCCCCTCATTACTGCCTATCAATGCCTTGGCGGTGTCAAGAAAGGGACGAGCGAGGATGAGTGGCATATCCGAGTCATCACTTATGTCGAGAATCACGAAATCGGTCGGATATCAAAACTTGTCCACTCTCACCATCATGTCATCCACAACGCCCCTCGAGCTAATGACCGAATGCTCGGCTAAGGTGATGCTAAGCTTAGAGGTCTTAAGTTCACCTACTTCTAACTTTTTGAAAAGCTTGTAGGGCATCACATTAACACTAGCTCCTAGATTCGCTAAGGCATTGTTTATATGATGGTTACCAATATCAAGAGGGATAGTAAAGCTACCTGGGTCGGACCGCTTTTTGGGAAAGCGGTTGAGGAGGTAAGCCGAACACTCCTCGCCAAGTGTCATGTTGGCGAGGCCTTCAAGCCTTGGCTTCTTGGTGAGGAATCCCTTGAGGTACTTGGCATATCTTGGCATTTGAGTCATGGCTTCAATGAAAGGGATGTTGAGGTGGAGGGTGTGGAGCATTTCCATGAAACCTCCACACTCGTTCTCCAACCTTTCATTGTACATCCTCGTGGGATAAGGAAGAGGTGGTGTGTAATCCCCCAGCGGCGATGCCTTCCTTGCCGCCTTCCTCTCATTCCTCGAGGGCTTCTTCTCTCCCTTCTTCAGGTTGGTATTTTCCTTCTCCTTCACTTTTTCAGTGGAGACTTCCGAAATCACATTCACACTCCTCACTTGAAGTGAATTCACCCCGGCATGGTTGTTGGGGTTCATCACGGTTTGGGAAGG